ATATTTGTGTGTTGTGTGTGTTTAGGGTGAGCAGGACTTCTGGAACAAGTTGATTGATCGCTACTTGACGCCTATTAATGATTCTCAAGAACATAAGGATGAGGTCACCAGAGAACTCAAGTCACTACGCAACAAGGTCAGCTAACATCATTCACTGTTTCTGCAAATGTATCTCTTTTTTTGTGTTTAAAACATGAATGATGTCTGTACTGATAATGTATAGAGACAGTTTATTTCCAAGTTTTTCAAAACTACAAAAAGGCGACTACTACCTAACTTAGCCATTTTAAATTGATGGCACTAAATTACTTTTTGGTAAAAAGTCTAAGGAGTAAAACTTGTGTAATGATCCTTCCCTTCAACAGGCAGTCTTCCTGTATTTCATCATCAACGTGCTGTGGGTCGTAGCTACCTTCTTCCTACAGGCCATTGGAAATGATGTAATCAGCATCAAGATCCCTAAATACTTTCCGAACGGGTCTGCATCTGGAGAGATCCTCAAGGTTTGGACAGACACGCAGATACAGTTGTATATGCATGTGCTGCAGATAAAGAAAAAGTTAAAGTAGGACGGTTGCATATTTTGAATGCTGCAGCTTCTAAAGGTAATCGCCATTCCTCTCATGTTCTGTTGACAGGTGGAGCCTCTCAGTTTGATGTTCCTGTTGTCTTTTGCTGTTCTTCTCTTGGTCCAGTTTTTGGCCATGTTATATCACAGGTAAGAATCGACTTACTTCGTGCAAAAACACGGAAATCCCTTTACATTCAGTTTTCATTGTTTTACAGCTGTAATATCAGGCTTGTATTTGACAGCCTCACAGCTTACTAACAGACTGACTTTGAAAGTTAGGCGGAGAAATCCCTCAACTTTCAAATACTGCAGGTTTGATTCTGTGGCAAAGAAATGCCAACGTATTTATAGTCTTCTAGGCTGGATAACCCCGACCATAAACAGGGACATTTGGATAAATACACTGCTGACTAACAAGGAATTATTAAGACATCTCCTGTGGTTATTTTAAGTATTGTAAATCCATTTCCTTACACTCCCATATGATCTACTCGTTTCAACTTGGTGTCTCTCTTCGCAGAGTCTACACTCTGATCCATGTGGTGTCCTATCGCAGCTCAGAGAAAGACTACAGACAGAAGGGGATCAAAGACCCGGTAAGCAACACACATGTACTGTCTGTACAAATAAACTGCAGGGAATTTAATCTTTGATTAGAATTGTTAGGTTAAAGACTGACATAGAATTGATTATATAAAAAGGCACAATTCCACTTGAGACCCTAAACATAACTTTATAAAGAAAGAAAAGCAATGCTCTTGTCATAATGAAATCAGAAAGAGTAAACCATGACAAAAAAATTGAAACTATAAATAGCTTAAACATAAAGGATAACATAAAGCAAGCAGATTATTCGAAGACAGCTAAATGATGTTTCAAATAAAATAAAACAGTAAATATGATATACGCACGTTTTGAATCCAACTGATTACAGATCAGTCTTGACTAATTAAGTCAATACTGATGTTTACAGCGATAACGTTTCAAAAATGTATAAACCGGTAGATTATGGTACTGTATCTCCTATAAAAATACAAGTGACTCCACACATGACCAACACATAACACCTATCTCCTTGAAATAAATGCATTATTCTTTGGGAGGGTAGTTATTAAAAGGTAATTACTTATTATAAAAGGAAAACCTAACAATAAAAAGGATGATAACAATCCAATGAGCAACCACCACACTTCTGTTTGAAGTAAAATAAGTCACAAATCAGTCAACAGTCATAAGGTGACCTAACCCAAACAAACTTCAGTAGCCCTGACATGATGCCTGATCAATTCAGACAAACCCATTACAGACAACAGTGCTGGAAACTACATTTTCTCAAGTAATGTACTAAAGTACAGTTTTGAGCTACTTGGACTTTACTTGAATTATTTCCATTTTATGCTACTTTGTATGTCTACTTCTCCACATGTCAGAGGCCAATATTGTACCAGTTACTTTGCAGATTCAGGTCATTAAAAACATTTTTATTTTAAATGGTGATATATTATTATATGTGGGTTAAGCTAGCCAGCAGGGTATACCGTAATTAAATGTACCTCTACCTTTACCAGATACAGTATTCAAGTGATGAACACAATAATGTATCAATCATGTTAATGCGTAATATGTCATTCTGAAATGGGTCATTCTGCATAATGAGTAGCCTACGGGATCATTTAAGTTTGGCACTTAAAGAATATTTTGAGAATACTGTTTTGTATTTAAAAGAGTATTTCTATGCTATTGCATTGTTACTTATACTAAAGTATGAAGAGAGGGGATCTGTTTGACTCACGTAGCCTACCTGTTAGAATGTCGTTGTCCTGTCCTCCACGGTGGTAAAGGGTCCAGAAAGTCTCTATTTCCCACTTTTACAATCTTGACTGATATATGTTGAGTCTCCACGTCTTCCCTGTCATGTTCATCGATTTTGTTCTTCTTAATTGTCCCGGGCGTAGGTCCAGTTTCCACACAAAAAATTGACACGGTTTTATTAAAACAGTTTATTTTAAGCCGTTCAATTTAAGACCGATTGATTTCCAACTAACTTTTGTTGAGCTAGCTTAAATAGCTAGTCTCGCTATTAGCGCCGCAGGAAAAGGTGTTTAGTAAACACTGTTTACTACCCGGTTTGTTTCATTGTAACTACCTAGGTAACTTTTATTTATGAGGCCTCCCTTCTCAGTTTTAAACCTGTTGAAGTGCTAAATAGTGACGGCTCCCAAATGGGTTTCTCGAGGCGTTAAGTTACTAATCAAGGGATGTCAACTTCACCTGCGTGACTTTACGTAACACGACCACTTCTACAAGAGTGCAATACCACCTGTCACCACGCAAGCTCAATTGGTGAGTAAGTATTCATCACCATACGTTGCAATCCAGTGGGCGCTGTTTCAATTAATTTATTATCCTTAATACGAGGAAAAGTGCAATAGGTAAAATAAAACGATATAACATAATATAAAATATTAAACAATAATCTAAAAAGAAAGTTAAAAGAATACCTTGTACATAAACACAAACCTGTGAGAGAGGGGTTTTAAAATTGGTTTGGAGATTTCCTGTAAGATTGCCTCGGGGAGGTAAGGTTGTATTATTTAACAGGGAAAAAGCGATTGGTTGAGAAATTCATGGAAAACTGAAAATATTCCATCAGATTCTGACAGTTGAGAATGATACTGAAAGTATGAGATTTATAAAACATTGATACAGTACTTATTTAATACCAGTGAGAGTACTTTTAAATTCTGTATTTTGGTCCAGTGGTCTCCAATCTACGGGGTCAGGCCCCCTCTAAACATGGGTGGATTATGAGACAAGGGGCCCCTGAGCACATTTAGTTAAATGTGCTGGTTCCTTTTTGGTCTTTTTTGTTGTTCTGGTTTTAAAGGCCAATTGCAACAGTCTACATACTCAAATTTCTAAATATTTTCAAGATTCACTCCTATCAATGCAGTCTCGGTTAAACCCATGAACACAGAACCATATTTCTCTGATTAGCTTCCACTTTAATCATTTACATTAAAATATGAGTACATCTTAAATCTTAAACAGCATAAATTGCAGCTCTGTAGTAATTTTCATTAAAAAAAGCTCACATCATCTGCTGACAAATCTGCATTTCAAAAGGTTTTGACTCGCCAAATATATAACTCAAAAAGTTGTGCTGATTAGAACAAAAGCAATATGCAACAATCTTGGTCAAATGTCCAAACATTTTAATCCAGACTTTTCCTGCTGTAAACAATATAGACTAGAATACGAAAAATATGAGGTTTATTTTTTTGTCTGACTTCTTGTCACCTAGGAGCTTACCGAGGATGAATATTGCATGACTCTGGAGAACCACTCCGCCACGGGACTCACCTTTACTGTTGATGATCTGTAGTCCATGACAACCAACTGTCACCAGTGAAACTCAGCAACCAGACAGCATTTCACAATGCAGTACATATTAAAAACTAAACAGAGTGAACAGGAAATCAACTTGCATTCAGCAGTAAGTCTTGACTGGCACAAGGGAAAACAATTGTAACAAATCCAACGTAATTTTTTTTGACATTTTAAAATGAGGAAATATGTGTTAAGGTTTTACAAAATGTGATATTAGGTTGGAGTGTTTTCATTGATCATGTGCTTAATTTCATGGTATTTTCTTGTTTAGATGTGTTTATTTATTGCATTCAAGTGTGGTGGATAACATCGACTAATTGAATATCCTTAAACTAAATTTGTGAAGTTTGATGAATATTCTTTTTTTTTTCTTGCATGCCTGTATCAATCATTTATGATTTAGAATTTTGTATGTGTTATTTGCACATAATATATTGCAAGAAATACTCATATTTTATACCCTGAATTGTTTCTGGTGAAATGTATAGCTTTGTGTTTCCATTTTAATATTGTCAGAATAGTATCAGTGTTTATACTGTATGTAAACCAATTGGAAAGATGCACTTTAGAGGGATTGAATTTTACAGCAAAGGTTTATGTTAAACTCACTTGAAAGCTTCTGAATTGATTGAAATGAATGTGTTGTAAAACATGAACATGTTAGCAATAAATGCATTTAAAATTAGTGGCGGATATTCATCTTATCCAATTAACATTAACATTTTTATGTCTTTGATTAGATTAAAAAAAAAAAAATCTCTAATGTTTTAACTGCGAGACAGAAATGTAATTAACTCACTTCTATGTGGTAAAGGGTTAGAAAATCATATCAGGAAGCAGTTCTTAGTTGTGTGATGTGTACTCTTGTGGCAGTTTTAACTGCTTATCAATAAATTGATAGTAATTATGCATGCACTAATAATTGCATCTTCTTTAAGTACTACGCTCACACAAGACGTTCACATTGAAATTGATACTTTAAACATTCATGCATGTGTATAAGCTTATTTCAGACCCATTTCAAAGAATAAACACAACCTGAGTTGACCTTTTTTTAATGAATATAATTTCATTCAAATGAATGGAAGCCGTAGACACAGAGGCAATTGCAAAGCAATCATCCAACACCTCTTTTGGGAAAGAGGTTTCAGCCGAGGGTAAGGCAGCAATCCAACACCGAGTACAACTGTAAAGGTTAACACCCATTTTGTCACTTTACTCTGAGGGTGCAGAGCAGAAACTGTCTGCAGGACTACACCTTCATGATATTACATTAACAGAGCGATTTAGTGTAGTCATGTAACAAGAATCACAAGAATACACGTTCTTAGGTCATAATAAGGTGCCTTATATTTTGGACAAAGGCTTAAATCTGATTGCTGCCACCGTTACCCAAACACCCAGTACAAAAAGTCACACTTTTATTATAGGTGGATTAGGTAATGATTCAATCTATGACATTCAAGACATATCAAGTGAATTATCTGATACATCAAGTAAAAACTTCACAAATGTCATGACCTACAGCAGGTGTCATCCAAAGCAGCACTGTGCATGGAGCTTATTTGCAACCTTTAAATATACTCGTATATCTCCTATGTCTCATGTAATTGATCTGCTAAGGGTTTTCTGCTGTCAATATACTGTATCCAAAAAGTCTGATTTTAAACCAGTAAGAAATGGCTACATAAACATAGGAAAATGTGCAACGTTGACTTTAGGGGAAATTGGTAATTTAATGTACTGTATTATGAGAGTAGTGAGTATTTGAGAGCTTACAATTCAGCTTGTGTAGTGATGGAGTCATTGATCCTCCTCACTGACAGCCAATAAAAACCCCTGCCAGCCCATGTGAGTGACAGTCAGTCTTATCAGTCCGCAGGTTGGCTTTTCAATAATCAAAAGCATCACTGAAGTCACGTTTGTGTGTTCCTCTGGCGCTGCTAAAGCCCCCACCGCCGCCGCTCCTGAATCCACCACCTCGGCCGCCGCCGCCGCCTCCCCCGAAGCCCCGCCCCCTTCCGCCTCTAAAGCCTCCTCCTCCTCCTCGGTTACCGCCGCCGTACCCTCTATCGCCACGGTTATTCATCTGCTTCTCCTCCAAATCTGGGAGCTCTACGGCTATAGTCAGTTGCCAACGACGACCATCTTTCCAGCCATCCTGATAAAAGGTAAAGTAAAAAGCAGGACGTTAGTCAACTTCAGCAAGAAACACTGTCAATAATTCCGATTAACTAATTACATTTTTAACCTTTGTTTTGTTTTTTTATACAATACAATTGAGCTAAACTCTGAAGCGCCACAACTTCCATATATTTATAATACACTGTTCTTCTGTACATTCCACATATGTCCTTATTTATATAACAATATTAACTTTATTTACTTTAATAGTGTAATTCTACACTATTTTATAAGTATATATTTTTCTTATTCCTACAACTTACTTGCGCCATTATGTCTATTGCAATACTTTATTTATTGTTTTTTTTGTATATCTTTATCTATTGTTTGTTGTTTAACGAGCCTGGGACTTATGTTTATTGCCAAAACTCCACTGTAGTTATAGTCAGGGTTCATACACTTTTTCACAAATGATTTTCAATGACTTCTCCATGACCTTTACCTAATTTTCCATGACCAAAAAAATGACTCTCAGCGGTACCACTGAAAATGGTTTATTTTAACATGGAACAGGAAAATAAAGTCTGAAACATGTTGTGCCTATCTAAAACAAATTCAATAGTAGGCTTACTAGCTTCTACAGGCTAAAGCAACTAAAATCTCTCACCAGCAAAATACCTCGTCAGTTAAATGCCATTTTATGTTTCATTACTATACAGTATTTATTATCATTATAGTATTACTATTTCGGCGATTAGATAAAATATAAATTATATTTGATGCAACTTTAGTTAAATTTCAATGACTTTTCCAAAATTTGGAAAAAATATTGTTTTCCATAACTTTTCCAGGGCCTGGAATTAGCTTTTTGAATTTCCATGACTTTTCCAGGTTTTTAATGACCGTAATAATCCTGTATAGTGGATATGACATAAAGCATATGAATCTTTGCAGTACGCATGTACATTTGACCGGCTAAATATTGAGCTACATTAAATCATCTAGTTTGATGCATATCTATTATTCATATTTTCCCATGGACTATTTGTCTTTACCAATTCAATCTAGAATACACTATAAACAGTCCAGTGCGCATAATGAACAGAGGGGAGATTTCACAGTTGTTCTCACCTGCATCTCCTTGACTTTGTCAGCTGGGATATCAAAACAAACTCCCTGTAATAAACAAAATAAAAGACGTGAGATTGTGTTTGAGACAAACAACAGGCATTGTTACATCTTTAACAAATGTACTCTTTGATAACAGATATGTTTCTGTTTACATGCTGAGAATAAAATGTTGAAGACACATAAAACATACTCTTCCTAGTACAGGGATTTTTCAAACCTCCATCTTCAACCTTGAACTTACTGTATAGAGGTAGCATCGGAAAATCTGACATTTCTCAATAGCTTCCATACATTGTGATCCGGAATTTAAAATTACGTATGCAACAAATACAGTCTTTAATTCTTATATGAGCCACATATTTGTGTGTTTACATACCAATTTGCCTTTGAGGAAGGTCATTCCTCGTACGTGTTGCTCGAAATTTTCCCCAAGCTGTTCTTTGATGCTTTTCCAGGCGTAACCGAGATTATGCATCTCCTGAGAACAAACCATCTGCATAGTGGCGAAACCCTGAAAAAACAACAATTGGGGTTAGACAGCACTTAGAATGCATAAATAATTCATGACAGATTCTAAGTTGAGGACAAGCTCAACATTTTTAAGTCTGGAATAACATGTAATGGGAGTGTGAAAGAGCTGCTGCAGTCTGAATCATCCTGCTGTTTTAGGAAATCCTGTGTTGGGTAGAGATGCTGCAGTACTTTTACAGTTTACACGTCAATCCTTTAACCTGTTAAGCCCCAAAGACCACGCCGGTGGGGCTTTTTTCTTTTCCACGACACTGTCTCAGGGCTTCTTAATATTAAAAAAAACTATGAATGTGTCATACCATCCTAACGGGAAGAAACTCAGCTAACTGATGATACGAACCATTTTTACCGAAACAAAACACAAGTCTCACAAGAAGGGTCTAAATGAGCCCTGAGCGAAAACATGCTAACGCACTTAGCACAGAACTCTAGGTACAAATCGATCGATATACTTATCGGATCTGCACAAACAAGGTTAGCTTAGGGTTAGGGTTACGCGTCACTCTCACTCCTTATCTGGTAACGTGTGTATGTGGATTCTATTGGCTCTAGCGGTTCAAAAGAGATGTCAATCATCAAAATCGACCAAGAGGGGCCAGAGATAGGTCAAATCCGCCCATATGACCCCAGAAATGGGTTGTTTTTTCTAAACCTCTCTAAAAAGGTCAAATGTCACTTGTTTTGCATCAATCTTGATACAGGGTACTTGTTATATGTTATAGTTTGGATTCGTAAAGCTTTTAGTCTACTATCCCATCATTCAAGGGTGGTTTTCACTATAAGTAATGTTTTTCTTTTGGACGGACACAATCATTTACATTTTTTTTTTTACTATGTTCAATCTGAATTTACTTTAAAATAAAAATAAATGTATATTGATTGTGACTCTACTACATCCAACTCACAGGTTTATCATTGCTTTGAGAAAAAAGATTATTAATTTTCCCCTTTTAGAAGGGAAGTTATGGTCATTTGTTCTGGGAATGTCATTTTCGAGCCTGAGACCTGGAAAACAGTCTCGGGGCTTAACAGCAGTGTAAGAAAAAGTTTTTAGAGAGTACTTGTCCATGGACAAGTGAGTTTGGCAATTTACTTGTCCGAATACATTTTTCATTTTCCAACGGTTTTTACGGTAAGATTTTACTGCATCACACATAGGGTTGGGTATCGCTTGGATTTGAACGATTCCGGTTATGCTTTTCGATTCCGCTTCTTTTCGGTTCTCGATTCTGGTTCGTTCAGAGGGTAAAAATAAGTCCCATGACAAACTGGGAGAAGAATATATTTATGAAAACATTAAGTCAAATCTGTATTCCTATTTAAAAATCACTTCATACTGTTTAATTTTGTTACGGTTCTTGAATAAAGTTATATAAAAATAATCGTTTAGTTAGTTCTAAGTGGTGCAGTTTGAGAATGTACAATTGGCCCAGTCTCCTCTGATGTTACACTGCAACCTGCCTGTGAGACAGAGTCCAACCACACAGTCTGTGTGTCCAACACATGTCCTGCAATAAACATGCTGCAGCTGCCCAGCTGCTCACTGTTTGTAAAAGTAAATAAATAGTATTTTCATTTCAATAATGTACTTTCTATACCCTGCTTCATAAACAATACTGACATTCCTGTGCTCCTCCGAGTCTGGGGGTCCGGGGATGTGAGGACAGCGCGAGGACACAGACAGGGAGGCTGATTTAATTCATAAAGGAAATGGCGGTCAATATTAACAATATAGGAGCTAAAACGTTTAATAACCTTCATTACGTGTTAGAGAAAGAACATAAGAAAGTTTGACAAAGATGAGGCTGTTAAACGGGCAGCGAATCAGCTGATACGGCAACACGATATGGAGCATAGGGAGAGAGAGCTGCGGTCCGCGGGGCTCGGCCTCCGCCTCCTGTCCTCACAACTCTTATTAATCCCGGTACCGGACAATTGTTATTAACTTATTTGTTCTTACTCAGAACCGAGTTTCACTTCCCAAGCCTGCCAATGTGCTACACGTCCCGCCCGGCCCACAGTACAGAAAGCGGTGAGATGCATTTCCTTAGGAATCGACAAGCAAAACTACAACAATGGCGGACACGGACAATTTACGAATTAGTTCTGCCTTTTGTAAGCTGAATTTATCAATAATTTGTCAATAAATAAGGGTGAAAAACGTCACTTGTCCGTCGGACAAGTCAATTTAAAGATCTACTTGTCCGATATTGTAAATAACACGTCCCGGACGGTGGGACGTGTGCTTTTTCGCAAATGCGTTGTCTGGCAATGTTTTCAATGCGAGCAGTGGCTGCTGTCATACAGTTAACAGGTCTAGATTTGTTACCTTACTTCATGGTAAATCTTTAGATGTATAGGTTGTTTAAGGTGAGAAGAAAACCAAACTTACGGCATCAGAGTTTAGCAGTGACCGCTGCTCTAGATTTGTGGCTCCAGAAATGTGAGCCAGAGCAGCAGCTAGCGCATCGACGGCTCCTCTCTCCTCGATCAGCTTCTCCGCCGACGCTTTGAAGTACCCGATGGCTGTAACTGGGACCGAGTCCAGAAGCCTGGACACAATACAGAAACAAACTTAGAACTATCCAATCATTAAGATTTGTTTAAAGTCTATGTAAGCATGGTAAGTTTCCCAAATCCTGATATAAGTCTGTATTATTAATCAACGTCATGGCTTGCACAGTCTAAAGTTTCAAATAGTAATCAATTACAGAAGTTTTAAACTTCTATGTGTATACGGTTGCACTGGGCTCTCACACTACAGAATGACTTACTTGACGGCATCCTTGCTTGATGACTTGATGATATCGTTGGCAGTGGGAACGCCGACTCTTTTGAATGTGATACCCTGGAATAATACAAAAATAAAAAAGGTTGATACTTAATCTAAAAATCTGAAGTAGAGTCGCACAGATTGCATAGAATATCTGAATATCTTTGTCTATAAAATGTGCACACATTCATAATTACTCTGTAGCTATGTCAGATTGACAATAAAGAACCTTGAACCTTGTTTTCAACAGCAGCATCCTCCTCCTCAACGCTTGATTCTCTAATAACAAAAACCTATCCCTTCTTTTCCATCTTCTCTACTTTTGATCCCCCCTTCCTTCTATGTTACACGTCCATCCCCCAAAGATGTAATGGCGCGTTTCCACTACACGGCCTCGCTCGGCCCCGCTCGGTATGGCTGGGCCTCGTTAGGACTGGCTCACTTTATGGCGCATTTCCATTACAGTTTAGGAACTGGGGCAGTATCTATAGTAACGCAGTGTAGGCGGAGCCGTGACGTCATCTTCAGAGGACCCCAGAAAAACAACACAGCCGTTAGCTGTTAGCACTCAGAGCTCATAGCTCCTCATATATGTTCAGAAACTAGACAAAAGTTAAACAAGTACAAACCACAGACTGCCTGTGTCATGGCGAATACAGTCGCTGCTTTATTTATGTCTGTATAGGCCGTTGTTGTGAGTGTGGACGGTCGGAGCATATACTGCGTTAGCTTAGCCAATCTCCATTTAGAAAACAAGCATTTTAAAAGGTTTTTCCCCTGCCGTCTGTCTGCAGACTTGACAAAGCATTAATTCATGGTTTTTACTAACCGGTATCAGTATGTTGTTACTTCGGCATCATTTTGAAACGTGTATTACAATTAAATCACGGTCAAATATGTCCATCTTGTTGTAGTTGTAGCCCCCTTGCCAGCGACGCTCTCTCTAGTTTAGCATACTCAGCCCGACTCAGCCTCGTTGTCTCTGGCCCTGGACCCACGATTTTATGAGGCCAGAAAAACTGTGAATTAGGACCCGCCGGCCGGTACTAGGCCAAGTGGAAACGCAACCAAAGACGGCCGCTGACGTCACAGCCCTCTTAAACCGGGCTGCGCGCTGTAGTGGAAACGCGCCATAATTGAACGCATTGTTTTTGAAAAATGTCAGAACCACCAAAACCATTCACTCTCATGCCACTCTGTCTTTTACTTTGAATTAATAAAAAAAAGACACTTACTGCTTTGTTTTCCACGTAGCGCAGCTGGTCCTCCTCTTTCCTCTGGTAGAAACAGATGCAGACTCCGGTCATGCCCGCTCGGCCCGTACGTCCTGAACGGTGGATGTACGACTCCACATCCTAACAACCACAGAGACAGAAACACTTTCAGAACTGGTAAAGGAGGCAGCCGTTAATGACTCATATTTTATGCAACACCGTTAATAAGAAAGTGTGTGTTGTTAACATTAAGGCGGCAAGGGATATTATTTGATTTGTTTATTAACAAAACAATGTCAACTTTTTGCACAACATTTTATTTTATTATTTTATTATATGTTGCATTGTTGGAGGAGCTCAGGTCAGAAGAATTTGATTGCCATTTCTACACTGTAACTTTGTGCATATGACAATAAAACCTTTGAATCTTGAATCAACTTGCATGATAAAAACATTGCAAAAGAGTGAAAATCTGCAATTGGGAATGTTTTGATGTTTTTTTTAGAGTATCGATCAAAATATGTACCCTAAAACGTTGTACATTTTGTGTTCAGTTCAAATGATTAATTAAAACAACATTGTAAATAACGTCCCCAATAAAACAAGAAATGTGTTATATGCTGTGAAACTCTTGTAAATATCACACCTTGGGTGGAGAACACTGGATCACCAGGTCGATTTCAGGGATATCCAATCCACGGGCTGCAACATTGGTAGCAACCAGAACCTCAAAAACGCCATTTCTGAACCCCTTCAGCGTGATCTCCCTCTGTTTCTGAGGAATATCCCCGTGGAGGGCCTGGCAACTCTGATAACAAAATAAAATAAGAAAAGAAGCATTACACATTTGCTTGCTTATTCATAGTGGTATTGCTGAATTGACACATCAAAGACTCAAAAATATAAGAAGTAAGGTGATAAACAGTAGGCAGATAAACAAATTAATGAAATGTCAGCTGATCATTGTACAAGAGGTGAAGTGTTTTGAATGAATTTGACTATTCACAAACTGTTCTGTGGACCGTATAAGCATTTCAGTGCCCGTGTCTACCTGTTTGATGGATGCATCTAAGGAGTATTCGTTGGCATCTTTCTTTGTCTCACAGAACAAGATGGTTTTGCCATGGGTGCCGCTGTAAACCTGGATCACATCAGCGATCACGGCTGCTCGCTGAGACCAGTGGCACGCTATGGCCAGATGCTACAGAGGAAAGGACACGGGAAGAAAAAAGGAGTGAAAGAAGAGTTGATAAGAAATACAACAATCTTATCTGCAAATGAACTTTCATGGATAAAAAGATAATTAACAGTTTTAATTAATATGACCAACTCTGCTTACAAGCATCTTTACAAGAACTGAGCCCAAGAATTAAGGATGCTTTACCGCTTGTTATATTGCACCTCAGCCTGCTTCACACACTTACCTCTACAGTTGTGGCGGCTTTCTGTGTGCTCTTGCCGATCAGATCCACATGTTTGCATTCTGGTCTCATGTATTTCTTGGCAACCTGGTATACCCAGGCGGGGCAGGTGGCCGAAAAGAGAAGAGTCTGGGGGTTGGAGGGGGAGTCTGGAGAGGAGCACACACACAGGTTTTTTACTAACTTTACATACATGATCACACTTTAATGAATTTGTTATCTACTTTAACATATATGATACACAAATCCAAATTGTAACACTCCTTATACACAAGGGCTGAATCATTAATAAGGCTTTTAATAGAAATTACAGTATGGACGAGTGCAAAAACCAAATTGCAGGAGGCAAGTTATCTTATAAAGATTACTAATGTTATAAAAAACATTTAGTAATGTTTTTATACTAAATGTTATTAAAAAAATATCTTTCAAAAATAATTGTAATGTGTTTTTTCCTTATCGTTGAGGCCTATACACATACATGAATATTAACACTCATTGTAAAACATTCACAGATTTACTTTACCTTTCTCATATGATGAAGACAAAATTTCTTCAACCTGTTCAGTAAAACCCATGTCCAACATCTGGTCCACTTCATCGAGAACAACGTGTTTCAGTTTGGAGAGGTCCAGTTTTTGGTTCTGGAGATGGTCTTTGATGCGACCAGGGGTGCCAATCAAAATATCGATACCATTACGTATTGCTTCAACTAGACGGGAAGAGAGTAGTGGAGAAATTATTATTTTGATATGTGACAACCCAGAAACCTCCCTAAAACAAACAAAGAGATGAGCTGCTGGTTACAAGGCACAGTTATCAATTGTCTATCAAATAAAAAATGTAACGCCAAAAGTTCTTTATAACATTAAAACATAAAGAAAATGTATATAAATAGTTGATTTAATGTTTTTGACTGTCGGTTTTCCGAATTAATTAGTTTATGAACAAGACTTACTCTGTGGATTGTACGAGCTGCCTCCATAGAAACAGGTGAGAGAAAGTCTCTTGGTGACGTCTTTGAAGTCCTTAGCAACCTGGATAGCGAGCTCTCTGGTTGGAGTTAACACCAGGACCTACAGAGTGACAAAAAAAGAGTTTCAGTTTGAGACAAACACACATGAAATAGCCTTGGTTGAGGTGTTTAGTGATGGGTGTGCTAGTGTTTGTACCTTGGGAGCCCGGCCTCTGGCAGAATCCACTGGGTCTCTCTGGAGCTTCTCCACCAAAGGGACGGCAAACGAGAAAGTCTTTCCTGTTCCTGTTCGGGCTTGGGCAATTACGTCCTCTCCATCAAAGACAGAATCAAATGTCTTTGATTGAATGTCAAACAGGTAGGTGACACCCCGAGCTGAGGAAAGGACAGAAAGAGGTCACAGAGAGGGAGAAAAGCAGGAGACATGTTAATTTGATATTTAGCACAACTTAAACAATCCCAGCCGCTCCAAAGCTCAGTTCGCACGACAAAGTACATGAAAAGAGCTGTGTCTAACACGAGTTAAAGCATTTGAAAATGGTGACCACCAAATGTTGAATGAAAATCTTATTCTTTTGAATGAACATCCATATAAAAGAAAAAAAAAGGGTATCTAATTAAGATAGTTGCAACTCAATAGATATAATTGGATGAAAAATGTTTGCTGTGTTTTATAAAACTGGTATTTATTTTGCAAATTGTTTAGACAAAATTAAAATACTATAAAAAAGGTGCAGTTTTTTGGCAGAGCGATAAGCATGTCGGATTTTGGAAATGTACCAGTACAGAGGAATAAAAATGTAAATACGTTATTTACCTTTTAGTTTATCAATGGTCACTTGGGAGATCCTGAAGTTGGAGAAGGCGCCTGCCTTCTGCTCCGGTGTCAACCCCTGGACAGATACACAAGTTAATCCATACATTCAATTTAATAAATCATGTTTCAATTTATTTTTGGGTCTTTTAAATGCTTTAACACATGCCAAGTAGTGAAAGGCAGCATGTTTTAAAATCCACCAATATAATATTACCGAACTAACCAACAGAACCCAAGCTTTTCCGCTTATCATAAATACAACGTGGCACACAGTAACGATACAAACTTCCATCGTCTACTGAGAGGAGGCTAGTCATACCGTGTCTTTCTCGCTGTCGCTGGCTGACTCGTCGCTGGAATGGGCCGGTGTCGGGATGGGCGTCTGGACGGGGGTGTTGGGGGAGGAATGTCCGTTGGTTACTGCCTCTGCTTTCTTATGCTTCTTTTCTTTTTTCTAAACAGAGATAAACATGAAAACAAATGTTTTATAAAGAGGGGCAGAGTATTATCTTTATAAACTATTCACTGTTTTCCATGAGTTAATCCAAGGTGCCTCTCAACAAATAAGTGGATATTTAACAGTTTGTTGTCCATTTATTTAAAGACTCTTTTTGGTTTAGAAACATAAATATAACTGCACATTTAAATCAAACAGCACTGACCTCTGTGCTTTCTTCAGGGTTTTTTTTTTTCTTAATCTTTTTTGGTGTTTCATCATCATCACAGTTGCCGTTCATTCCTGTGTCTTCAACTACGTGTCCGATCGATTGGTCCAACTTGTCTTTTTTCTTTTTCTTCTTTGGTGCTGGAGGTTCACAGTCGAGGTCGTCCTGCTCTTCCTGGTCCTCCAACTGCTGCTTCTTCTTCAGCTTCTTGCCCTCTTTGGTCTTCTTTTATTATAAACAGAAACAATAGAAGATAAATAGGTTTCAGTTAAAACAAATTCACTGCCTTATATGAACGCAAGGACAGAAATAAATTGGCAGTTTGTTTCAAATCTCTATTACAATTTTGCTGATAAACAACTTCTGATTGTGGTTATGTATGGTATAATTAACGATGGGCGGATGATATCAAAGCTCCAACGCTTGTTTCACTCCTCTGAAGTGCACTTTCAGTACATTTTGTGGGAGCTAGTCTCAAATAAAGAGTACAATGGGGCATCCACAGAATGTATTATACACAATGTAAAGTGAGCTAAGCTGCCAACTTCCCTTGTTGTTTTTAAATAAATAACAGTAATGCAATATCCATTACTTACCATTTCCACTCCTTAAAACAATATTGACTGAAATATTTATAAGGGCTAACTCAAATTATATACCTCAATTACTTTGAGGCCAGACTACAATAAAGAGTCGGTTTAAGGTGCAACTGTTTTTTGTTTTAATTAAAACATGTACGCATTATATATAGCCTGTAGTTATAAAACAAATAATCATTAGTAGCAGCGATCATTAACTTGAAGGTAGAGTTGTACAGTTGTGAGCAAGTTGTTTTGTAAGCTTAACAGCTGACGAGCCCAGCTGAATATTACGTCATCAGGTGGCGCCAACAGCGCAGATACCCAAACAGATGTGCGCAGTGTGTTAAAGGCCTCCACGTTGTCCCTAAATATATTCACGTGATATATAGATCATTGCAGAAACACATGGGCTTGACATGTGATCGTATAGCTAGGCTAAGGAAGCGTCCCATGTTCAAATGAAGCAGTGGATTACATTAAGTTTATAAAATCACACCGCAGTGGTTTGTTTATAACATGTAAATGCTAGTGACGCTACTTAAACTGATCTGAACGTTGGTTTGCTAACAGCTAGCTAGCTAGCCGATGCTAGCACGTTGAGCCACATGTTGTCAACATGGAGCGCCGGGAGAAGAAGTCGCACGAGCTACGTGGATATTTGAGTCTGTCCGTGGCGACAGGGCACGTGCTGCTCACCTTGATGGGTTTAGCCTCCGCGACAGTGTCCACGTCGTCCTCCATGACTTGATCTTCACTCTCAAAGATGACTTTTGTCGGCATTTCTCTTTCTGATGGAACGGCTCAGCGTGGACACACAGGCTAACCCTCGGGCTTGCGGATGGAAAGGAACGCGCAAAGCCGGGCGCGCGCTTGCGAGGAA